TTGAAGTTAGCACATTAGAGAAGCTTTAAAAATAAAATCGAGGATTATAACTCCTGAAAACATTTATCCCTTATTCTTGATTTAAATGTAATTTTTCCCAATGAAATGACTCATGCTTTTGCTTTCTTACACAGGCCTGTATGCTCGCAGTGTTGCAAAAAAGTAAGTAAGTAAAATTTTGGCTAGGGCCATTCTAAAAGGCTGTAATCTTTGTAATGATGCTGCATGTCTCTTCTGCCTTTCTCAAAGATGCGGTTGCCATCCAAGCCATATTCTACTCTCCCCATCTTCTCACTGGGACCTTCAACCTTACAAAGAGGAGAGAGCTTTATGAGGCCAGAGAAACCCTCTACCAGTCACCACCATTCGCTGCAGAGCATGTCCAGGTGAGAAACGACCCCAGCTCACGTGTGGCTATCGCAAATGCTTCCAAAGTGTTTCATGTTGGGTTATCAAGCATTAAGATTCTCTCTACCTGGTTTGTAGTCATCAATGTTTCTAATGCTCGTAGTAACTTTTCTGAAGCCTGAAAATCCATGTCTCTTCCACTCATTGCTTTGATTTAGAGAAAAGCAGAACAGCATGTCTTACACCTTTTTCACATTACAGCTGAAAAATAGACTCTCCTGAGATGAATCTCACAGGCAAGAATCACTGAGTGGGAATTCAGTGATGTCTTGCACAGAGTTATCTTCTGTTTCCTGATTTTGTTTAATTCTAATTTTTTCTGGGTTATTATTTTTTTCACTTAGATATGATGAAGTTACCTACTGGTTTTACATCTTCTAGACAGATGGTTGCCAAAGCTAATCCCAGAAATTAAATATAAAATAAATGCTCTTTTTTGAAGGCATCTTCTGTATAAACCCTCTGCATAAATCACTAGTGTGTGATGCTATGGCAAATTAGCCAAGCATATCCTCTACTTATAGTTATTAGTGAGGTTGGTTTTGCCTAGGTAAATGTTACACATGGACTCAGATAGTGACCCTGCAATCTTGCCAAAGCAGGCAGAAGCTGGTGGCTGGTTGATCTCCTGGTGTCATTTTTGGGACAGAAGAAAGGAAGATTTAAATCAAGACCATTCTGATGTGCTGTTTCCTAAAGGTGTCCCTTGGGTTCCCCTGCCACGCTGCTAAATAATGTGACAGGTCCTGCTCTTTTGCCTTTCAGGTTGACCTCAAGGTCCAAATCTGTGGACAGGTCACATGAAGAGTTTCCCAAAGAGTTAATGGAGGACTGGAGCACGATGGAGGTGTGTGTGGACTGCAAGAAGTTTATTTCAGAAATCATCAATTCAAGCCGGCGCAGCCTATCCCTGGCCAACAAGCGAGCCAGGTTAAAAGGGAAAACACAATCCTTCTACATGGCGTCACCCGGAACCTCCGAATACTGCCCCTCTGAAAGGACTATCAATGAGATCTGAGCCTCGTGCCTTTTGCTTTGCTATTGTCTTCATGAGGTCATCATCTATGAGCAAGGTCACTGAAACCGGATCATCATTCCGTTGCTTCGTTTCACGTGACTGGCTTGAATTTGCATTAGATCACAGGATTTCCTGCTGCAGTGGTTCCCAGAGACACAGAATGCGTTGTTTAGATCTCTGTGGGAGGGTACACAATGGGTCAGCTGCTCGCACTGGAAGAAAAACAATAGTTTGAAATCGTTGCCTCTTTTGTATCTATGTGTTGAAACTAGAAAGCCTTTTCTTGCTTTCAGTCTTTTTTTAACCATGCTTTGAATCATTTTCCAGGAGATGAGCTGCAAACGTACCTTTCATGGAGAACCAAATGTAACGAAGCGTCAGTGTTAGCACAGTAGCAAACAGTATGTCATATTGGCATTACCGCCCTAGTAGTGCTCATGTCCTAGTTGAAACAACAAAGGGTCGTATCGCACACCAGACACGGAGCGTGAGTGACTGTGGTCAGACCCCTCTTTCTTTGCACTGTTTTGGTTGCTCTGAGATCAGTGTTCAGCACAGCACTCCACAGCGGCTGTGTCCTGGGGCAAGCTACACGACAAAGCTCTTCACCAGTGGGGTTGCCATTCCCCTGAGCTGCTGTACTTTTTAAGCCTTAGTGTACTTCTGAGTGTCTCCTGAGCAGGTTTTAGTAGTTTATGTTCTATCTTGAATGTATGATGCTGACTACCAGTAGCAGTGAATTTTAGTAGTAGACAGAGTTGTACAGTTTATGGGGAGGATGGGAAATAAGGGAGGCTTCTAGTTGTAACTGACTACCTGTGAAGTTGGTTACTCAGACAAAATGGTGGGTAAGGTGTACATTTGTATTATAATGGAGCACACAAATACTTCTGTAGTTATGGCTGACAGCATATTCACTGAGAGCCCCATTTTTCCTGGGGTTTATAACTTGGCTGTAAAAACTCGTGTTCTGCTGAAATTTGGGACGGTGCTGTCTCAGATTGGGAGCAATCTTTTCTTTAATCCTTTTTCATTCCTTTTCCCTTTTTGACTCGCTCACAAGAGTGCTAGGCTGCTTGTTCAGAAGCTCCAGCAATGTTTCAATGTTAACTGACATCTCATGCTTTTTTGCACTTTTTTTTTTTATACTCAGAATACTTTTGTTTTTAAATCCAGGCATAGCCAGAGTTTAGGCAATAATTCGGGGCTGGATCTTTTTGGGATTTCAGAGCAAGCTGACGTAGCCAAGTTACTCATACTTGAAAATCAACTACTGTAACTTTTTCATAATTTTTTAATACCCTGAGGCATATTTAATATCTATATAGCAGTGTATGATAGAATGACATAGCAGAAAAGTTTCAGATCTATTTATTAACATTTCTATACTTCGGATTAATGAGAGATACCTCAGAATTGCTCCAAAGTAGCTGGGACTGGATTCCCCATAACATGGTTTTAAAGCTGTAGTAGTCAAAACAGATTCTCCTCTCCAAATCCCCCCCTGGTGAGGAACAGTGTGGGCCTGTGGGGCACCAGGGCTGCTTGATTCTACCCAGTGTACAATCCAGGGCTCCAGTCCCGCTGCTGGCCACCCCCTGCTGCCCAGGGCACCAAGGCTTCTCCTTCAGAGTCTATTTGCATGTTACATTGCAGCCTTTGGAGCAGCGGCTCATATCTTCTAAGCTGATTTGTAAAGCACATGCAAAAGTCACCTTAAACCTTCCCAGGGACTCGCCTGTCCTTAATTTTCTTTAAACACCCCCTTGGAACATGAGAATTTTTGCCTGTGCAGGGCTTATTGAAATAATGGGTTTGTTTGGTTCTGAACCCTTGCAAGCAGGAAAAGCAGGGCTCAAGGCTGACTCTCCTCCATAGCTGTCCCATGTAAGGTGAGGTGTCAGGGCCCTCTCCTCGGGGTACCTCTGGAAAAGTGTCTTGCACGCTGAAGCACCTGGAGTACTGGCATGAGTTGAGGATGTAGGATTGCAGGAGGTGAGCAGCACAGGCTGATTTGAAAGCTCTACAGCTGCTGGAAGGGTCACCTGATCTCAGTCACATCAGCACTTTTTCTTGTTTCTGTGCCAAAACCTGGCCATGTGTTTGCTGCACAGTGCATCAGGAAAACCAGACTGAAGGAAATGCAGGAAATCTCACTTTGCATCTCCCCTGTCGTTGTTCTGGTCATTTTACCCCGGAAATGCCCCAGCCACGTGTTTCTGTTGCTCAGTCCTCTGCTCGTAGTCCTGTTCTGTGGAATCCTCAAGCCTCTCAGGTGCAGAGTATCCAGCATGTTTATTTTCCCCTTTGAGAGAGATTTAGGCTATTGCAGAGCAGGCAGGACTAAGTAAATCCTGAGTGTGCAGAGTCCCTCACAGCATCCCTGTGCCACCGTCCACCCTGGCAGTGTGCGGGGCAGCTCTGGGGAAGCAGCGGAGCCTGGGGATCCAGCCTCTGTCTGCCTTGGCTCAGCCTGGGCTCTGCTGTGCTGGGCAGGGCGCAAACACTGGACAACAACACAGTTGTTGTACGAACTGCTCCGTGTTCCCCACACAGAGCTGCCGCAGGGCAGGGCCTGGATAACCTTCCTTTTTCCCTAGGAACCCTTTGGGCTGCTGGCACATGCCATGGCAGGCTCCCAAAAACATGGTACGGAGGGCTGCCTTTCCCCTTCCCTCCCATCCCTTCCTCCCCAGCACAGTTGCTCCACATTATCCTGGCATTTCATCCTGCAGAAGAGCCAGCAGCAGGCTGGTTGGTCGGGTGCAGCTGAAGGAGCTGGGCTCTGCTGGCTGCCGGGCTCGCTGCAGAACTGGCTATTTTTAGCTTTCCATCTCGATGCTTGCGCTCGCATCCCAAATCCACTGCAGCCATTCGCCTGCGCAGCCTGCAGTGCTGCCCGGCACGTCCTAGTTACGCTCTGAGCTTCACATCAGCGTCAAGAGGATGAAATCAGAAGCTTGTAAATATGTGTAATATATTTAATACTTAGGAAGTCTCCATCAATCACGCAGTGGGAATTGACTTTCCCATGATGTTTTAAAAAGGAAATGAGTCTTATTTATGTGTATTGGCTGTTATCTTTGTTAAAGCATTCAGCCCCCTAATACAGTTTGCACTCCATAGGCATTTTAGCTGGAATTACTGCTGACAAGAATGCAGGACCAGCACAGAAAGCTCCCTGCCATGAATTTTAAAAACTTCTATTTTGTTTTAGCTTTATCAATACACCCAGGGTCTGTTTGAATATCCCGTAGGAGGCCCAAGGAGTTAAAAATGCCACTGGCAGCATCGGTCTTGTTCTGTGTGTGAACCTGGTGGTGGAGAATTAAGAACCAGCTCTGCTGCTCGCTGGTGATGGAGGAAGTGAGCAAGGCTGTGCTGCAGCTCTCACACCCAGCTTCCAAACGTTCACGGTGACAGTGGTGCTGGGCAGGTTTCTTGGTTTTATCCCTTTCCCCATTACTTCCTTTATACAGAAGGGGTGTTACCCGGCAAAAATAAAAAGCCTTTCCATTATAGCCCTTGTCTGTGTTAATTACTGATGTGGAAGCTGATTTAAAGGTTCTGCCTCTTTCCTTTTTCATGCTTTTATAGTTCTGTAAGATCAGTTGGATAGGGCTTTTGGCAAAGAATTGTTAATGAGAATGATCGAATAACAGCAGAGCACTGGCTGGGCTGCACGGAGGGAGGGAAACGTCAAAGCACTCTTAGAATAGCAATAAAACCGCTTGTGTAACTCCAGTGATGCCATTAGCGCCCACGCATCGCTCCCAGCCTCCTCCCTCCGTTACCAGTGTATTGCTGCTTCCAGCACTGACGGTGTGTAGCTGAGGCTCATCCTGCATGCAGCACAGGCTTCAGGAGTTCTCCATCCCTCATCTCTGGGAGACAAATGCCGCAGTCTTTTGGAGAAGTTTTTGATTGTTCTGAGTTCTTAAACCAGAAGTGGAGAGAACATTTTTAGCACAACTATTACGTTGTTCTCTTTCAAGCTCTCCTGTTTCCCCAAGGCAAGTTCAGCATCAACTTCCACAGTTAGCTACTGGCTGCATGCTCTATAGGTTAAAACTAATGTAGAAGCTCCACTTTTAGACTCCTGCTGGCTACCTTCACACTTTACCTCACCCAGCAGCTCTGTACATCTTTTGGGAATGTCTTTCTTATGAGCTCAGTCTCGCCGGTGATACAATGACAGCACACAGGCATGGGGGAACGGTGCTGCGACCACACGCTCCGGTGCTACGGCGTATGGATTATGTTAATGTTACTGTAGAATCTTACAGTGTTTCCATGTTGACAACCTGGAGCTGCTCTGGTTTATTTCTTCTTTTGTATGTATGTATCTTAAGGCCAATCTGAGAATGTTTATCGACTCCAGCTATAAAGATCTGTTTGGTTGTTTCTGTCTGATTTTTACTCCTGTGTTTCAGATTTTGTGGGGTACCTGCTCTTCACCAGAAGTTCCTGGTAGGAGAGCATGAGAGAGGGGTGTTAGCTCAGGCTGATATCATAGGGTCATAGAATAGTTAGGGTTGGAAAGGACCTTAAGATGATCCAGTTCCAACCCCCCTGCCATGGGCAGGAATGCCTCACCTTAGACCATGTTGCCCAAGCCTCTGTCCAGCCTGGCCTTGAACAAAATACAACCCATTTCGTGACACACACGTGTAAGTTCATGAGCACTGTCCTCATGGCAGCTCCACGGAGCCCAGCACCCCAGTGCACTCCTGCTGGGAGAGCTGGTGCCAGCTCCTGTGTGCAAAGAGTGGGCATCAAGTGGCACCACGAGCTCCAGCAGCCCAGAGCTGGCACAAGCAGTGAGATTTTCTGTGCCCCAGGTCCCCATCTTCGAAAATGGGTGACAATGTGGGTACAACCGTTTAAAGCGTTTTGAGAGCCGCTGCTGAAGAGATAGATGAATTTTACTACAGTAGTCTGCACTTAACCCATGTCACAGGGCATCACCAGGAGATGGAGCTAAATAGTTACAAAATAGACACAGCAAATTGTATGTGGTGATGGCTTTGTGTATTTGCACTCGACTGCAATTCAGTGACTTCAGTTTGTTCTTGGTGAGGTTGTTCTTCATTGGCAGTGCCAGGCTGAGCTGAGCTGATGCAGGCAGCCAGGGCTCTGCGGCCTGAAAAGACAACACAAGCTGCTGCAGTCTGCAAAGCAGAACAAGTCTAGAGAAAGCCATTTGGAACATACCTTTTTTCAGGCTGATAGAATCAAAAACACATTTTAAAGCAGATAGACAGTCTTTTTAGGTGCCAGGCTTGTTCATAGGTGGAAAAGACCCAGTAATGCAAGGAGAGGCTGCATGCCAAACAATGCAGAATGGGCTTGTCAGATTGGATTTTAGGGGGCTGTTGAATTGAAGGACATAGGCATGAACTGGTGCAATTTCTGCAGGGGACTGGCTTCCAAGGCTGGGAGGAAGCAGGTGCCAACAGAGAGGCTGCATGCTCATGGCCCCTCTTACAGGACAGGTAGAGGCCAAGGCCCAACTTTGGTCTAGGCATTTAAAATAGGCATCCAGCTGTGGAGGGTGGTGGTGGTTACACTCCCTGTGAATCAGAAAGCAAAACAAAGAACAAGGAGGGCATTTGAACTGTATTATTTCTCTTACAGCTGGTTCTCTCTACCCAGGCCCCTCCTTTAGTAAAGGGGAAAAAAGAAAATCCCAAACAGGAGATGCACTTTTTGGACACTAATAGGGACCAAAGCACAAACCCTTCCACTTTGACTTTCTGCTTCTGTGCTGTCACTGCACCTGTCAGTGCAGCTTCAGGTACACCAGGGGCATCAGCTCTGATAAAGAAAGGCAACAGAATTGTCTTTGCTTGTTTTCATGTTATGTGGTACTGAAATGAATTTCTTGTTTATGCATTACTAATAAAAAGTTCTTTAAAATGATATTGCATTGCTCACACTTTCTTGAGCCAACCATGGAGACACTAAACACCCTTTCTTACACTGCACAGCTGGTAAGGGCACATTCCACATTTGTGTGGGCAGGTAGAGCCCCAGACCTTTGCTGCTGCAGGATTTAACAAGGTTAGACACAAAGTAATAGAAGAAGGGGAAGTATTGTGCCAGCAGGGACCCAAATGAGGAACCCTTACTGAGGGTTTTACTTGCAGGTGCCTTCTAGTAAAATGAGAATCATGCCTCAGTCATCTCCACTGTGGAAAAATGAAGAGGACAGGACTTGTGCTTCATAAAAATGCCTCTTCACTGAATAAATCCATAGCAAAAGCATGACCCAGATCTGGAGCTGGATTAAAAGGCCACTCCATAACCTGCATGGCTCTGACCAGTGGCAAGTGGTGTGGGTGGGGTAAGAAGAGAGCTTATGAGAGAAATCAGGTCTGATTTACAAATCAGTTTAGATGACTTCTTCCTGTTAGCCACAAAATGAAGCAGCTGCTGGACTCAGTTCAGGCACACAGGATGCCTGCAGAGCTTTTGACCAGTAGGATGTGTGGTTTGCAGCGAGTTCCTGGGCACCTGGTATTGCTTACCTGGTACTGCTGCTTACCCAGCACACACTGAGCCCAGTAAATTTTCTTGAGCCTTCTCTGAAAACCAACAGCCCATTTCACATCTCAGCAGTTACACCCAGAAGTGGTTTTTTAAGTGGAGGATGTCATTTATTTAAGATAGCACCACAGTGTACACAGACACTTCACAGAGTCCTGCCCTTCACAGCTCACAATCTAGGAAGATACAAGAATAGGAACAGTGTTACCCACTGCTCCACCTGAGGATGTAAATGAAAAGTGTCACATCACAGAATGTCACTGGTCATCTCAGTGCTCCTTCATTACATCATCAGATACAGCAGCTCCTGGTACACCTTATGTGCTGCAGTTCAGTGCCTTCCATTGTGATAAGCGTCTTTACAGAATACCACAACTTACGCTAGGATTGCCCCTTTTCCTAACAAATATGACTTTCCTCTCATCATGTCTGCTGACCTGATGGGGCGAAAAAAGCAAGCAGAGTGGGGAAGCATGGAGGACTTAGTGGCACAAGGACAAGTCAGGAAAATAAGAAAATGGATAATCTACACAAAACCCATTACACACAAGAGCATCTGATTACACTGTTTTAGGTTAATGCTTTTTGTTGCTAACATGAGCCTGTCTGCACTAACATGAAAACCAGACATTAATCAGAAACCAGAGTTTACCTCAAGCCTGGCATCTTCAACAGCTTTAAGATCCTTCAGGGCCAAGTGATCGCAAACAGGCCCATTTGCCATGCTCTGGGAACCACTGCTGCCATGCTCCCTCACTATTTCCCTGCAGTCATCCTTCCAACTTCATCCTTCTCCAGCTTCATCCTTCCACAGCAGGCATGTGCAACACAGCTGCAGTTACCGGGGAGGGTGAGCAGTCCCACTTCTCACCAAGCTGTAGACCCAATATGCTGGCACTAACTCCTTCAAACCAAACCACCTCCTTACACCCAAACCCCCACTCCCTTTCTCTTGAATTGCAACCTAACGGCTGAGAAACACTGAACTGCAAACCTCAGTGCCTTGAACAACAGCAGCAAACATCCTCCCTCCCCAACACACAAATCTTTAATCCTGTTTTCACCCCGCCAAGTGCAGAATTCTTACTCAAAATGGCACTTGCCACCTGTTAATGAGCATGCCTACATGTGCTGAGCTTCCTTCTCCTTGGTCCTTCCCCCAGTCCCACAAGCAGCCTAGCACTTCCCCTCACATGCAGCTTTCTGGCTTTGGCAGACACCTCTGTCAATGCACACGACACAAAACTGACTTCAAGAAATATTTTTTAGCCACTTCCAGTAAATAAAGATAGGGAGTTTCCCTAGGGATGGACCAAGAGAAGCAATTACAAAGGTAGGGGTTTTTTTTTCACCAAGGGTCAACTCAGACTGTAACAGTGACAGAACTGGAGTGCTTCAGAAACAGCGTTATGCACAGTAGGGCTGAACATATAGGTACAGATCCTATCAGATCCCATATAGAAGAGTCACATGGTCAAGGAAGAAGAAGGGTGGGTGCCCCATATCCAAACTAGATGGGCACAAAGCAGGAGAGTAAAAGTGCATGTGAAAGCTAACAGGAAATTAAAAAGCAATTCACCTGCTAAACACTGGAGCCTGCTTGGTCCCAAGTGTGAGCACTGGTCCTTTGTACACAATGGAAAAATGAGCAGCCACGGAAGGTGCAGCAGTGTCACCTAGCCCAAAGACAAGGTGAGAGCAGCAGCACTGCCCAGCAATGCAGACAGGCAGCTGTGTGATGGAACTGGCTTCTGGAGGAAATCAGTCTTTTTCCTACCCAAAGTTTCCCCACTCCCATTTAGCCTAGAGAAAAGCAGAAAATGACTGAGCACAAGCAGGCAAGGTAGTAATCCATAGCAAGTGAGCTGCAGACAAACTGGACACAAGAAGCACGGAATGCAGAGTGGAAGCAGCCCAAAATCAGTGGGGAATGAAACAGAACAGAGATGCTGCAACACAAATAGGTAAGGATTTGTTTCTGGAAGAAGGAAACAAAGTGCAAAGCATGTAATCCAGAAAACTGATGGATAATTAATATTGACCCAAGGTGCAGCAGAGGAGTTTGGCCCTGAAGAGAACATAGGAGCCTGTGGTGGCTTTCCTGGAACACCAGCTAGTGCTGGTAGGTGCTATACACAAATCAGGTTTAAGACAACACTAAGTAACTATTTCAAACCTGATGCAAGAAGCAGCTTTAGACAATCCTTCTTGCAAAGCAAAGCAGTACATGAACCTCTCCAAAGACTTTTCTACCCCCTGACAGTTATGTTTTCATCATCTCCAGTAGGCATGTATGGAAATGCTGCAGTACAGGTTTCCACATGCACAGACACTTACTCATCTTTTCCTTTCGTTTGTAGAGCTCAGCCATAGCTGCACTCCCCTTCCCAGCTGAATGCCACCAGGAGCTAGAACACCTTCTGCATTCCTTATCCAGGAAGTGGCATCACTCCTCTGGGAAGCAGTCAGCAACTGACCTGCACCAAAGCTATCCAGTGTGTCTTCTGGAAAGGAGCTGCTGTCAGTCTTTAAGCTCTAAGTTTCTGTTCCAAAATAAGAAAGACTTTAGGTCCATATAAAAAGAGCAGTGTAAATGTTAGCTACTAATTTAATTGCTTTGAACTAATATGTACATATGTACTTTTAAATTAAGTTTCTTCATTAGGATCATGTAATTTAGTGAGACTACAGTTACACCCAAATTAATGTTCACTTTCAAACTACCCAGAATACAAACGCTGAAACTTCCCTTAAGCTACAGACACTGTAGAATTACCAGATCAAAACAGTGACCAGCACTTTGCTCTTCTAGTTTTTTTAGAAGTTACTCATTCTCTTTAACAGCTTCCTAAACACCTACTTGCCACTTGAATGAGTAAACATCCTTGCAACACTTAGCTCACTCTGTGTGAACACCAAAAATAGGTTAAAATGCCCTAACCACATATACTACATCTGGACCAAATATGAAAACCTTGTGAACATCAGAGAAGGTTAGGACTGGTACCTATATATTTCTGCACGCTTTATAGGAAGCAATTTCACAGGTACCGGAGTACTTTTCCAGATAATGAGAAGTATTTAAAATTATCCTAAAATCATTTTGTACCAATGTGGAAAAGCATTGAAAAAAATCAGTTACGCTGGTAATCAGTAGTTAGTAAAAGTGCTCAAAAAGGAGAGTCCATTTATTTTCCTTGTAGTCCCGTTTTCTCCATTCAGGGCACGAAAAGTGCATGTTCATGAAACTTTACCATCCCAGATTTCCTGCTTATTCCTCATTTCAGCTCTTCTGTTTATTGCATCAGTCTCTCCTTCAGTTAAGACAGGATGTGAAGAGCAAGGATCAGTGGAACAGCACAGTCTATTAGTTCAAGTAGCCCTCAAGTACCCTTAGAGATAAATATGAGAAGTATTTTCCAGCACCTTCCAGGAATTACAACTCCTCTCCTCATAGGGAGGGGAGGAACTAGGACAAGTTAATAAATATGGAAATAAATTATACCCTTCTCCCCACCAAAAAACTGGTTTAGGCTGTTAACATCAACAGAAACTTTATCTTTGTTTGGATACAAACATCTGAGAGGTAAAGTATCCCTGTGTCATGTTCAGGCAGCACTTTCAAACAAGATAAGAAAAGTCAGTACCACACAAGTTTTAGCTTCTTGGGATGATCCTCTCGATAAGGTATCTAATTCTATCATGTTCTGACTCAAGTAGTTCCCTTGAAGTGTCTTAAGACACTATCAGATTACAAAGCAGACAAAATTCAGTGCTATGGTTCCTATCAACCCTTCACAGAGTGAATGTTCACATGGAAAACTTACTACCACACATGCATTCTTTTTAAGTTCGAGTACAAAAAACCCAAGATGATGTAAATATAACATACTTCTGAATTTTGTTAGAAAAGGCACATTTAGGCAGTTTCAAATGTGCTAAATGTTTTGTTTCCAGTGTTAAAAATAAATGGTTTAAATAAAAAGAGCATCTGCAGGAGGTCAACAGTAGGCAACAGGAGCTGCTGTGGAGATGACAGATGAGGTTACTTTTCCGCTGATCCAAAATTCTTATAAATATATAAAACTTGTGCAGATCAGCCTTGGCAGGGAGATCTACAAAGCAGTCTGGAGAATAAGACTCTTCTGTCACTTCCCTGGAATTTTTGGTTTCATTTTTCTGTTGATGCTGCTGCCATGGCTGGTTTCATCCCCTCACGTGTTGACTTCAGCTCCTCCAATTCTGTGTTTAGTTTGCTGATCACCCATTCCAGGGCATCCCGACCCTGCCAGGAAAATACTGGAATTTAGGATCAGAACACATACACCACCACTGCTCATGTTTCTATAGTTTTTCCTCTGTCAGACATGGAATTTGTTTTCAAATTAATTTCATGCCCTGCATAATTTAATACCAGATTATACTGATAATTTCTTAGCATCTTCTGATGGAAATTTCACTGCAAAGGCATTTGCTTAAGCCATAAGCAAGGAGTAAATGCAATATTGGTGTGTGAGCTCCCAGCAGCACACCTCAGCAAAAAGCCTAATTCAGCAGTTAAGTTACCTTATGTAAGGTTGAGGCTGTTTTTACTGTTTGCTGCTCCCAACTCCCACAGAATATCAGCAAATTTATGGCAAAGCCTAGATCCTATTCTCAGATTCATTGACCAGGTTACATGCGCAGGTTTTGAGAAGATCCAGGACAAAGAAAGAAAGCCTTCCAAGTGCTCTTTGAAGTAGTAACAACTGATTTGATACCTAGCAAGAGTTCAGAGATGGACTCACACTGAAGTCTACATACATGCACAGTAACTTCCAGCATGTAAAACAGACTAACTGTGAGACTACAGTTGCATGTTTCATATCAAGGTATGGTCTTTCTCTGTTCAGTTCTCAGAGTGGGAGTGCTTCAAAGCTGGACACTGACAGCCAATGCTTTAGTAAGAGCTGGGGAACGCAGCAAGATAAGCATGTAAAAAACCTTTTGCCTTAAGAAGACCCTGTAGCAGCTGCACCCCAATGACCACAAGATGAGCATGCAGCCAGACACATGATGAAGGCAAGAATATAAAGAGAAGCACTTTAACTAAATAAAAGTGTAAGATTTCAGAGCTCCACCGTCGCAGAATAACAGCCTTTGCCAAAACAAGCAGATGGCATCAGAGCAGGAAAATGCCTGACCTTCTTTCTCTTAAAGAGAAGCCAAGAGACATTCACCTCTATTACCCTACCAAGAGTAAGAAGTACAAACTGTGGGGAGCAGTAACTGGGAGCCACAAGGCTTTGGCCAAGTCTAGAGCAGTTCTGGAGATAAAGGGTCTGAGCTCCCAAAGTCCTAAGCCTTCAGGAGAGCCAGTGTCAGTGTTCAGGTCCTCTGCAGAGATTGAGGGAAAGGAGAGGAACACCCCACCTGGCACACAGAGTTTTGTTCTGAACTATGATAGACTATTTTTGTTGCATGCGTTAGAGGCAATAAAGTGAACAAAAAACCTCATAAAGTGTCCAGAACCTGCCATTGCTCATTATGAACTTCTAAGCAAGAATCTGCATAAAGAGCTTTGAAAACCTCAAACAAACAAGTCAAACCAAAACCCACACATACTTTTGAAGAATTTTTTTGTGTCTAGAAACATTACTCTGGAATAATATAAAAAAGCCCAGTTCCAGGCTGCAAAGTGTAGTCTATTAAAAGAAATAAAGACTCTGTTTCTCTGTATGTTTTTCATATCATAGCAACTTGCTGAGCAACACTAATTGCTATGATATCTGCACTGGCAGGCAGATCTCAGAAAAGTCATCTACATATCACAACATTCAGCTCTCGGCCAGAGCTCAGAAAGGAGCATTCAGCTCTACCCAGAATTACGTCAAGAACTAGTATGTTTAACTTAGTTTAAAATATGTTTTTAAGAATACTAAGAATATTCAACAAAGTGTGATTTAAATTGTCCAGTTTAAGCTAGAAAAAAGTCATTAGACTTGGGTTGCTAGAAAAAGTCATTAGAAGAGTATGATTTCACTTCTGAGATCCTTCCATTTGAGCATGAGATCGACCATGCTTCAGCAGGTGGTAACTTCCACCATCCTGTGCAAGACCTGGAGACACCAGCAAAGCATGCATAAGAGCACCCAGGCAGGAGTAGCCACGAATTAGCTGAGTGAAGTGCTCGGTAAGGAACAAAGTGGGGGGAGAGAGTGGGAATCATCTTTCAGTAAGGATGCATTTAGATATTTAAAAGTCAGGTTAAAACATCCTGTCTTCGGTGACAGGCACAGAAAACTGAGTAAGCCAGCAACAGCTTAGATGTATATGTCTAATTGCATGTAGAAGACCTGTCAGAAAGTCAAACACCTCTGATGTAGAAAATGCTCAGCAGAAAAAAACTAATTAAACCATAGTGGTTTAGTTGATATATTTGTTGATACGATAAAATGAATCTAAAAAATCCACGACATTCAAGTGAAGCATCAAGATATTTACTTCAGTTTTTGAGACTACCCAGGTCTGCACATCTCTTTAGACCTGCATACATGATATACTATAGCTTGCAGCTAAACTTGTGATATTGGCAAGGAAGACTGCAGCAATATTCCGCACAGGCAATTAAGTTACAAATCTCAACCAGATGCAAAGGCTCCAAGTACTGTAGGACTGACCAGTTACTAGAAAAAAATCTGACAGAGGATTGGTCTATAAAGTTTCACGCTGCACAACAAATTCTGTAGTAGGCAATCAAGCGAGCACATTCATAACAAAGCATGCATATTATATTAGTCTTTATTGCATATGTTTGCAGTATGATGTGTTTGGCAGACCAAAGGCTGCATATGAAAATCTGTTGGTGGAGCTTAAGTGACTGATAAATGCTAAGCCTTTAGAGTTGATGTTTTCCAGATAAACAGCCATAAAAGCTTAGTGGAATGAGAACGTAAAAGCAAACACTGAGGGCATACACTGATCTCAAAGTAAGCAGTGTAGAAAACCCCATGTTCTTAACTAGGGGAAGCAGCATAATTTTTTTTTTTTAAGGAATCTTACTAGTTCAAGCATAAGCCGACACAGGAATGACAGAGACAGGCTACACTGACTAGTGGAAGGAAAACAGTCTGCACAGAGGCAAGTACACTCAGTTCTCTCAACCTTGAAGTCACATTTTTTCATAGTCACATCGCTTGAGGGACACATCACTACCAAAATGAATGTAACTACAAGAGCAATGGAAAACATGAACAGCCTGGCATTCTGGCAGCTTCAAGCTTCTTACAGGCTTCCACAGAAGTTCACAGAAGGGCAACAATATTCCTTAGGCATAAGAAAAGCAAATATGATTTCACTCTGCAAAAGATCACCCCTGTTAGGCAATCTGTTTCAATAAATAAATTTTCTATCCGAAGAATACAATTCTGTTTTATTTTTGTAATGCCAATTCCAGTCACTAACCAATTTATTATTTTCTTCAGGTGTCAGTTTGACACACTGAAATCACAGAAACTAGGACCAGATCAGACACATGCCTGTATCTGCAGTCATCATTCCACTTTCATTGGAAAGCAGTACAGTGTGGCACAAGACAGGCCTGCAGCAAGCTGGCTGTCCAGTGGCACAGGATCCAGCCTAGATCTGACCTACTCCCACTCTCTGCAGCTGCAGTGTAATGAACATTTTTGCCATTCCTGTATGCAATGTATAGAGCATACATGCAGGTTAATTTACGAAATTCACATGACAACAATCCATGCACATATTTGCTAGAAAGCTGAAATGCTGTACCAAGAAGAATGCCGGCATTACCACTAGTTAGTAAACTGGAGATGTGGAGCACTGCTAGCTTAGAGCGCTTTCAGAATTTTGAATTATCCACTCAATAGCATCCCACCCCTGGAGTAACACAAAAAAGATTTACAACGTATGGCAAATGATTTTCCATCATCAGTAAAAATAATAATGCATCATCTGCCACTTCTAGCTCAGAGCAAAATCTCAACACAAACTTCCTATTTCTTCAGAACAATAAAACATTTATCAGCAACGTTTATGAAGTTTAAGTGGGGTGCTAAGAGCACAGAGGCATAGCACTATATGCAAGAAGAGCTAGTAATAGCACAGTAGGTTTCTGGCAAGCAAGGAAAGGGCTGGTGGGAGCAAGTATAAATTCCTGTCAAGTTCAAATCTCTAAAGAGACTTTTTAGTGAATCACACAGGACAAGGGTTTTTTTGATTTGCAAGAAGCTTGTAAGCCAGTGTGTTCCTTGAAGAACAATCTTTAAAACAAATCAAGCTCTGACACAGGCAACACCTGAACAGGTACCAAGCAATATTCACACTGTTTCTCTGAGTTCAGTAGAGACATGCAAATGTGACAGATGCCACAAGAAGAATTCAAACAGCACTTTAAAGTGTGCCTAGTTGATCTGGCCATTCCAACTAGCTAGTGCTTTGCTACCTCCAAGTCAGCCTGAAGTCAGGTTATGAGCCAGGGTTTGGACTTCTTTTTCAAGAATATATGACCTTCACAGACTTTTAAATGGAAACTGGATCAGAGAAGAACTGTAATTTATCTGAAATACATTCCATTTCTGACTTTCAAACACAGAGAACATTCAGCTAGTTAAAGTTACTCTTCTTGTGTCTAGAAATTACTCCTTCCCCATCTCCCGATTTTAACCTGTTTTCCTTTCATTTTTGGAGAAGCACACAGGAAGGAGGAAAAGGAATCTCTCTCCTCTATGATCTAGTTGGTCAATGCCTTCTATCAAGTTGACTTACACTGCCTTGGCCAAGCAACATCTCTCACAAGGACAAAGGGCTGGCCAAAGCACAGGCTCCCTGACATAGTAAGAGTTACCTGGGCCAGATTCCTACTATGCTGAGCCTCCCCAGCAATGCAGAGTACTAACTCAGATTTCATGCACATTTGTCCTGCTGTTAAGCAGTGATGCCTCTGCTTCTCTAGCAACTCCATTTCTTTCCCACCTTCCCCCAAAGCAGTACAGGATGAAATTCCCAAGAATAAGCAGTCCCATAGCTCTGCCTGTGCTGAAATGCAGCTCCATGGCTGCAAGCCAAGTAGAAAAAGCAACTGCAAGACAGAGGAGTTGGTGTAGTATTATCTACAAAAGGAAGCATAGTTTCACCTCTTCAAAGAATGTGCCTCTGCTTATACTATATTACTTTCAGCAAAGGCAAGGAGACAGCTCAGTAATGTACAGTAACTGGAATAAGTGGCAAAGCAGCATAGATAATATGCTAGCATTAACTGTTAAATCCAGATTATAAAGGCTGAAAAGAAAGTTATAGAATCATAGAATAGTTAGGGTTGGAAGGGACCTTAAGATTATCTAGTTCCAACCCCCCTGCCATGGGCAGGGACACCTCACACTAAACCATGTCACCCAAGACTCTGCCCAACCCAGCCTTGAACACTGCCAGGGATGCAGCATTCACAACCTCCCTGAGCAACCCATTCCAGTGCCTCACCACCCTCACAGTAAAGAATTTCTTCCTTATATCCAATCTAAACTTTCCCTGTTTAAGTTTTAACCGGTTACCCCTTGTCCTAGGGGTACAGTCTCTAATGAAGAGTCACTCCCCAGCATCCCTATAGCCCCCCTTCAGATACTGGAAGGCTACTATGAGGTCTCCACGCAGCCTTCTCTTCTCCAGGCTCAACAGTCCCAACTTTCTCAGCCTATCTTCATAGAGGAGGTGCTCCAGTCCCCTGATCATCCTCGTGGTCCTCCTCTGGACTTGTTCCAACAGTTCTATGTCCTTTTTACATTGAGGACACCAGAACTGTACACAATACTCCAAGTGAGGTCTCACGAGAAAAATTATGTTCACTACTAGGACTAACTCCTGGAAACAGGAAGTTAGTGTTTAAAAAGGTGCTTTGGAAGAAAAAAATACCAAAAACCCAACAAAACAATACCAACTAGCAGTGTGTATATGCTATATGTATATTATGTAGCATGAACACAGAAGTTTGTTCTGCTGTGAATTTCTAGTTAAAAAACAAAGATTTCGTAGTGAAACCTTTTCATACTTTGGGAAATTACATTCTAGTTGCTGAGTTGAAACTGTGCACAGAGTTCAGCAAAATTAAATGTAGTATTCAGGACATGTGATTGACATTACTATTTAAAAAAAAAAAAGGTAGGAGTGGGAAGAGAGAGAGAGAAAACAGAATAAAGATGTACCTTTCTGGCATTGGAAGATATTGTGTTTGCCATTAAGCTTTCCAGATAACTGCTCAAGCTAATGCCTTTAACAGTAATAATTGCTTCTTGAGTTAGCACAGTTCTGTAAAAGAATAAAGAAAAGTTAACACCTAAAGTGAACTGGACCAGCATAAATGTCTCCTATGTACAAAAAAGCACAAAAATATCCTTACTTACTTTTCAGGGTTCTCAGGATGCGGCCTGTAAACCAGTCTCTCATCAACAGACACTAAGTTTGTGAGAGTAATCTTAAAAAGAAAAAATAAAGCTTAAATCCTCACTTCCCTTTCGTTTTTCTGCTATCAACAACACAACTCAACAATAGCTCACCCAATGTCAGAGACAGAGCAGTGTGAATTGAATATAAAATCCAGAACACAGTCAACAAAAAGACCTATAAAGGGTGATGGGTCTTCTCCTGTTCTAGATCTAATTATATCAGTCTAACTGCCTATTCACAGTACGAAGCACAAGCAGCTTTCCATTTGTTTTCTCTGAATGTTGAGTCTTATCTGATTTATGGCATGTGACCCAGAGAGGCTCTTCAAGACCAAGACCACCGTAACACTATTTGGACGGTACAGAAAACTAATACTCCAGAAAGACAATGCATCTTGTACAGAGACAATGTTCTTCTACAGACAACTCTACTTTAAATCTGATAGTAACAAGTTCCCAGGATACAGCATTATACTTCATTTACATCTTGAGAAAAAAGGCATTTCAAGTTATCACTTCTGTTGTAAATGGCAGCATAATGTAGAACAAATTATTCATCTAAAGTCAAACTACTTCATAGGAATTCTGAGAAATAGCCTTTAATTAAAAAAGAACCACAAATGTTAGATCCCAAAGTATTTAAAGTTTCCTATTTGTGGAAAGAAGAAGGAGGAATAAAAAAGAACCAGCTAATATGCCAACTAAGATGTGGAAATTGCCACCTCCTGATAAAAGATGCAAACACATTCCTAAATGTTAAGAGCAAAACATCTAATCTCCAGATCTAATTACCAGTAACTTCTTAAGCTACCACTCACATTAGTTGAGCAAAGCTCCATCTTTTTTTCCACTGGATCTACCACAGAATGTTCCTCAATGTAAGTCAGAGTTCTACTTGTTCCTAAAATCTGAAAAGGAAGAAATAAAAAAATAAAGTTAAGTACTAAAAACAAAACAAAAAAGCCTCTGAAACACAAAAATGTCAAGTTTCTAGTGGCCCTAAATAAATAGAAGTAATCAATGGATACCACAACAGTGGGATCACTGGCAAGACTACATCCTTGCAGATGGCATCAGCCATATAGCATGACACAGACCAGTCTGGAAGGCATGTATAGATATACAGACTGGATAGACATATAAAGCCTACAACATATTCTCGCCACTAGGTACACTAATTACAGCTTATGTGATACTGATTGTACTGCCTACAAATTAAGCTTTTACTTTGAATTCAGCTCCAGTTCTGGTGACCACATAAAAATGCATCACAGCCTTACTAAACCATTATGACTGTCAAAGCGTACCGCTTTTACAATACTCGGCAATCCCCACTCTGTGCTGAGGAGACGATGGCTATGCAACCTCCCCTGGTTATCAAGGGTTCTGTCAAGGACATCCACTCCTACCACACACGGATTCATTGGGTTGGGGTATTTTCTCATAGCAGCTTTGATCACTGTATCCCAGGGGTGCCTGTAAAAAGGAGACAGGATTTGTAACCATTTTCCATTCAGTTGCAATTATTTAGACAATAATAAACCAGGGATCTGGGTTGTGTAGTATGGCACATGTTGTACAACTCCCTAGCTCCCAGAAGTCCCTTCAGAATACAGCAGTGCTTGGGAAAGGAATAAGAAAGTATTGACACACAAACAGAAAAAAAAATAATACTCCTTTCTCCAGAATGAAGAAAGGAATTGTTAATCCAACACTAACAGAAATGACAGCAAGGAGCAACAGTCACAAATTACTACACGTAACATTCCAATTAGTTGTGCAAAAGCCCCACAATGACAGGGTAGCTGTCCACAGAGATGGCTCAATCTCAATGCATTTGAGAGCTTAACCAGAAAAGCCACCTGACCTAACATTTAAGTATAGCCTTGCTTACACCAAATAAATTCAAGAAGAAATCATTAGCTTCTGTTTCTTCCTGTAGCAAAAACGCAAAGCAAAATTTAATTCAACTAAAAAAAAAAATTAATCAAGAAGTTCAAAATAAATAAAACCCCCCAAAATCAGATTTTCAGAAACTGTTATCAGCTCACTGCCTTAAGTGTGCACTTCTACTACCGCTTCCAGCAGCTTGTTAGCTCTCAACACAGAACTGCGTTTATGAAATAAGTTTTGATAGTTTCAGGCTCCTGGGATCAGAGCAGCCCCACTCCTGGAGGCCAGGCTGCCCACACGGCTCTTGTTGTGGGACTTTATGTACCTTCTGAAACAGAGGACAGAGAAATTACGGCCTTGATCCACTACAGAAATTCTGCCTGAAGCAATGATTTCTACATTAAGAATAACTTATAGATCAGGAACAAAAGGTTTGTAACCTTTAGAAGTACTTTTAAAAAATTAACTACTGGTATCTAAGTTAAGAAGGCTTAGGGGTGCCAACTTGTATGTAAGATTTGCACTTAGGGCCCTAAATGGATTTGATTTTTAAGAACACTACTTTTAGTCTTCAAATAGATTGGTACAGAAGGGCATCAACTGTACACCACTGCCAGAACAAACAGAAGCTTGGGAAAATAAGTCCCAACAACAGTGAGAAAAGGTCTTTTGGCTTTATTGGTAGAAGCAGAAAAACAGAGCCCATAGTTCCTACATCAGAGGAAGAGCTGGAGGACCATTCCCTGTTATCTTCAGTGACTGTACGTCACAATCAACATAAGAGTCACAAACAGAAAATGATAAATTTCTGCTAAGTGTCCTTGAGGGATCTAAAGGATCAGAGATCTGATAAGGCACAACAATATTTTATTAACGCCTGAACTATCTAATCCCGCACACATGACACTGTAAGATAGAGGTGCTCCAGTATAGATCTTGATGAGATAATACCAAATAAAAATCAGGTTTGTTTCACAGGCGTCAGATATTCATCTCAAACCCAGAACTTACGCCACATGCAAGCAGCCTTTACAAGCCTCTGCTTGCCATTTCATATTAGAAGCTACAGTTTGAATTCACAGAATCATAGAATAGCTTGGGTTAGAAGGGACATTAAGGATCATCCAGTTCCATCCCCTCTGTCATGGGCAGGGATGCCTCTCACTAGACCAGGTTGCACAAAGTCCCATGCAGCCTAGCCTTGAAAATTCAGCTGTGCTAATGTAATTAAGGAAGCTTAAAACGGCACATACTTTAAGAACTATCACCTCTGATGCTCTTCAGGATTTGAGTTTTAAGAGACCTGTAGCAGATGAGTTATTGGTGGCATTTAAAAAGCTGCACTGGAACTGCTGCTTCCTCATGTCAGCTCCCTGGTAAATCTTGTGACATACCTGTTGATGTGTAACAGTAACCTTTTGCTTACTGCTCCCTTGTTACACAAAAGTGGAACTGGATGGCCAGAACCGGGTTCAAAGTGTCTTCGATGTGGAAAAAGACTGACAGTAAGAAAACTTACTCAATTATCACTTAATGTGTGTCTGCTAGGCATTTCTCTGAGAGTATCTGACAGCTAAGGTAAGATACACTGTCCCTCTGTCCACACCTCTTGGAACACATCGTCAAGTACGTCAGTAGTTTGGGATTTATGTTTTCTTTTGATGCGAAAAATGTTTTTCTTTAATTACCCACGTCTTTCCCAAGCAGTTCGGCTGTGGGACCACCCCCATCACTACCACCGCTAGGTGGAATGGCATTTCCAGCCGCAAGCGGTGGGAGAAACTCTCGCACGGAAGCCCGACCACGCAGGAGAAAGAAGCTGAAGGTGATGAAGGACCCGCAGCGGGGGAAGCACTGACACACCGCCAGCCCACCCCGTCACCGGAGGGGTTTAACGCCACCACAGACCAGTCCCCCGTCCTCCCCCACCCGGGTTGCCTGTCAAGCCTTCGTGCCGGTATAACCAGTCAGGAGCTACCGCTCTTAGCCTCCCTCCTCCAGCCGCACCCGTGGCACTTCCAATTTCCGCCCTCACCCGGGCAGGGCCCGGCTTGCCCGGCCCGGCCCAGCCCAGCAAGGCGCCGGACAGCGCCTCGGTCCCCCCCTCAGCCCTCCCCGCCCGCCCGGCCCCTCACCCGAACACATGCTCCGAGCTCCAGATCTTCATGGCCGCCGCAGTCTCTCCTCACGGCCGGAGGGAAGCGGGGCGGCAGAAGCAGCAATCCACGCTCAGCAGCTCCTGACAGCCCCGCGCCTGCCTACCGGCCAGCGAGCACCAGCCGGGGGGCGGAGCTCCGCGGGGCAGGCGCTGGGCGTGCCCAGCCGGCTCGTGCGTCACGCGATTCCGTCACCGCCTCGCCTTGCCCCGCCCACTGCCGCCGCCACGGCCGCAGAGGTTGGCGCGCAGGCTGAGAGGCGGCCGTGCGGGGGTAGCAGGCAGTGAGATGAAGTGTGTGTTGCTGTGCTGAGGAGTGAAATAGTGACGCTAAACGCCTTAATTCACCCAAAGGCCTTTGCACGAAGTGACTTTACAGTGGGCACCTCCACGTAAAATGTGTGATACAGGGAAAACAATCCCTCAGGAGACAAGTTGTCTTCTTTCCGCCAGGCTTTGTTGAACATTACCACAGGATAACGGATATCACTGCAGGTGATAACAGTTCAGTATGTGTATGGACACCAGTGACAAGTGGCATCCCTCAGGGGTCTATACTGGGACGAAGTACTCTTTAATATCTTCATCAGCAACATAGTGGGATTGGAGTACCTACAATACTTGTGCAGTTCTGGTGTCCTCAACATAAAAGGAACATGGAACTGTTGGAACAAGTCCAGAGGAGGGCCATGAGGATGATCAGGGGACTGGAGCACCTCCCCTATGAAGACAGGCTGAGGAAGTTGGGGCTGTTGAGACCGGAGAAGGCTGTGTGGAGACCTCATAGCAGCCTTCCAGTATCTGAAGGGGGCCTATAAGGATGCTGAGGAAGGACTCTTCATTAGGGACTGTAGTGATAGGACAAGGGGTAATGGGTTAAAACTTAAACGGGAAGTTTAGACTGGATATAAGGAGGAAGTTTTTTACTGTTAGGGTGGTGAGGCACTGGCACAGGTTGCCTAAAGAGGTAAATATCCCTGGCAGAGCTCAAGGCCAGGTTGGAGGGAGCCTTGTGTGAGGTGTCCCTGCCCATGGCAGGGTAGTTGGAACTAGATGATCTTAAGCTCCTTTCCAATCCTAACTATTCTATGATTCTATGATTGAGTGCACTGTCAGCAAGTTTGCAGCTGACACAAAGCCAAATGGTGCAGTTGGCACACCTGAGGGATGGAAAGATAATATGGACCTGTTGGAGAGGGTCCAGAGAAGGGCCAGAGAAATGGAGCATCTCTCCTGTGAGGAAAGTCTGAGAGGGTTGGGGTTGTTCAGCTTGGAAAAAAGAAGGCTCTGGGGAGACCTTATTGCAGCCTTTCAGTTCTTAAAAGGGGCCTACAGGAAAAATGGGGAAAGACTTTTTAGCAGTGCCTGTTGTGATAGGATAAGGGGTGATGGTTTTAAACTAAAAGAGGGGAGATTCAGGCTGTATGTGAGGAAAAAATTCTTTACGATGAGGGTGGTAAAATACTGGCGCAGGATGCCCAGAGAGGTAGTGGATGCGTCATCTGTGGAGACATTCAAAGTCAGGCTGGACGTGGTTCTGGGCAGCCTGGTCTAGCAGGAGGTGTCCCTGCTCCTAGCAGGGGGGTTGGAACTAGATGACCTCCTAAGGTCTCTTCCAACCCAAACTATTCTGTGATTCTATGATAAACAGGCTTTACTCGGCAACGCCGCTAAGACCCGTCCCTGTCAGGGCAGCGGGGTGGACGAGAGCCGGAGTGCTGAGGCCCTCCCGTGGCCGCAGCCTCGCAGGCTCCCCTGGCAGGGGGAAGCCCGCCCTTCTGAGCGGTGCTGGCCGTGCCCTCCCGTTGCCACACCGCCCGACCCACCTCTCGAGTACCGGCTCCTCTCAGCGCCACGCAGGGAGGGGCGCGGACATGTAACGGCCAGGGGGCGTGCCGCAGCAAGGGTGACGGACAGACACCAAGGGGCGGGGCTTGTATGGGTCCTTCCGACGTAGAGGAAGTGCACGCAACAGCGCGATGAGGTCAGACGTCGCAGGCCGGGGCGGGCTGACGGCGGCGCGGGGCAGTGAAGGAGGAGGCGGTGGTGGGCCGAGGCGGCCGCTGGGGCCATGGCGCACCGTTACTTGCTGCTGGCACCGGGCAGCTTCCGGCGCCGGGGCCTGCCTGGGGTCCTGCTGCAACAGCTGCTCTGCGGGAGGGGTCTGCGGGGGGCGAGGCCCTGCCTGGCGCAGGTGAGGTGCAGGGTACGGGCCCAGTCGGCCCCTCCTCCTCCTGTTAGCCGTAAACGAGGGATGGGGGGACGAGGGAGGGCCTTGGTTGCCGTGGTGATGGGCGGAGCGGCCCCTCCGCTGCCTAGAATCCCGGGGTGGGGGTTAGCCCTCTGCTGCCTGTGGCCGAGGGCTCTTCGCTTCTCCCCGTGGCCTTCCGCGGCTCTCCACCTCCTACCTGCTCACGCTTGCCCTTCCGGGCGGCGGGTAGCGAGGGCCTGTGGCTGGGCGTGAGTGTGGCATCTCCTGGGTCGGAAGCGGCACTCGGGCGCCGTGCGGGAGTATATGCGGAGCGGCCGGAGGACAGCCGTTGTTGAAAGAGGGTGAGTCGACAGCCGTGAGCTGCTGTGCACCCTGCCGGTATCGCTGGGCTGCCAGCGGGTGTTCAGGTGATGTGGCCTACCTGGCTTCCCCCTTCTCAGTACGTCCGCTCGTGGAGATTAGGGGTAGGTGGGTTTGGGATTACCCGCACACACCCTCTGTGCTGTGGGCTGCCGATTCATTTGGGAGTTTGGGTTGTCAGTGAGTGCAAGGGCAATGTGTTGGAAAAGAGAAGGCAAACGGCCGGTTGTTGGCGGTGCCCGGTGAAGTAGCAGTGTGGTTTTGTCTGAACCTACTGTTCTAATATTAAACGATAAATTGTGGTGGCTGGGTATTCATTCTTAGTGAAATGGTTTAGACTGCCATATGTTATAAGATTGTCCTGGGTTCAGCTGTAACAGTTATTTTTCTGCTTCCTAGTAGCTGGTGCAGTGCTGTATTTTCGACTTCAGTCTAAGAGCAATGTTGATAACACACCGATGCTTTTAGTTGTTGCTAAGTACAACTTACCCCGACCAAGGACTTTTGAGTTTCTCATGCTCTGCCAGTGAGGAGTGGCACAAGAAGCCAGGAGGAAGCAGAGACAGGACACCTGACCCAAACTAGCCAAAGGGGGATTACATACCACAGCACATCATGCCCACTGTATAAACTGGGGGGAGTTACCCTGAAGGCCCAGATTGCTGCTCCGCTCAGGCTGGGTGTTGATTGGCAAGTGCTGAACAGTTGTAATGTGCATCACTTACGTTTATCGTTTTCCTTTTCCCTTTTTAGTTTTATATTCTCTCACCTTGTTGTTCCATTGTCATTATTATTAGTAGTAATAATAGTAGTGGATGTGTATAATACTTTAGTTACCAGACTGTTCTTATCCTAACCTGTGGGATTTATATTCTTTTGATTCTCTTCCCCATCTCTCTTGGAGTTGGGGGGAGGGAAGAAAGAGGGGAGTGAGAGGGTGGCTGCATGACTCGAAGTTACTGGCTCAGCTTAAACCACAACAAAGATATGTGTTACCCTTGTCAACCCAATATCAGAGGATTGACAGACCTATGCTACTGCCTAAGAAAAAGGAGGTACATAATTCCTGCATCTTTCCATGGCATCTTGGGCAGGTTTCTGCATTTTTCTATAGCATATAGTGGCAAACAGTTGCACCTTTGTAGGTATGAAGGCTATCACTAGGCTAGTGGTAGTTGTAGGATGAATGCCCATAAGGGTGTTAGTAACTTAGTCCTAAGTATGAATATATGTTTTGGTTTCAGAGTTGTACTTGTGGTTTTGTTTTTTCAAAGCTTTTTATTGCAAGAGTAAATAAAACACTGTTAGCAGTAGTGCTAATCTGTCAGTACGTTAATTCTCAGTTGTGTCAATAAAATGTAATGAGTTCTTATTTGTAATGGAACATAAGACCTATGAAGGGAACTTTGTATTCATCCTAGCATCTGTGTGTGTGTCCAGGGAGCAAAACAAGGAGCTTCATTTTCATAAAAGCCTTTTTAAAATCATCTTAAAGTAACTTATTAAGTTAGATTTCTTTACCAGCTTTCTGTTCCTCCTCCCCCAACATGCTGTTATGTATTTTGATGACTATTAGATAATTAAGATTTTTTTTAGTTTAATTTTATTTTGTTTGATTTGGAACTTGTTTATGGATAAAGCTGTAAACTTACAATTTTATAGAGTTGATGAATTCTTGGTCTTTTGCTCACATAGCTAAACAAGTGGGTTTTTGGTCTAGCTTTGTGTAGCCTCAGTTTTAAAAAAAGTGAATTACAGTTACAAAATTTTTGTAAAGTCAGTAGTTCTGACTGTTTAAAATTATCTGTATTACTCAATATTGGAATTGTGGAGAAGGCACTTTTCTGCAATTACAGATCTTGGGTTTATATTTCACTCTGGAGTAGTAACATTTTCTGGGTTATTTTGTACTTTGCTTGTCTTGATCATAATAGAAAGAAGTCTTGACTTTTAGGAAGATGTCCCAGGGTTTGCCTGGGAAAAGATATTAGATAGGGGTTGGGTCTTTTTTGCTTTATATGCTGTCATAGTTCTTTCACCTCTGACTGAGAGAAGGTGGGCAGAGTTGCCTGGTGGATAGTTTGAAACAGCATCAAATCAAAATGTGCTTTGCTTGCTTTCTCTCTGCTTAGGCAGTGGGTCTGCCTAGCTGAGCTTGCTGTGGCATTCCCCTTGCCAGGGATACAGGACAGGTCCTGTGTCAGGATCAATATGATCAGTTTTCATGCTGATGTTTTGTAGAGACAAAACCAAACAAAAACCTCCAACCAACTGAAACCTAAGCAGTTGTTACCACCTTAACATAGTTCTAACAACTTTGTCATTTGTGGAGTGCTGTGGTGAAAGGAAACCGCATGTTTCTGTAGACCAACTCACCTAGATCTGTCAGTAGCATAAACCAACTCTAAACCACTGACCTCTCTGTGTGTTAACTTTGCAGGTTACTCTGCATTTATTAATGGCATTTAGGGTCTGTAGAGACAATCCAGCAATAAACCAGTTAGATTATTCAGGTGTGTCCCAAAGCTCTATCTGCTTACCCTTCTCTGTCTTCTTCCCCCTTCACTCTC